GGATTAACAATGCTGATTAACTGAGTAGCCAGCCAATTCGTGGTATCCATATCGGTAATACTCCCGCGAAAGTAGTCTCGGTTGATTGCATACACGTTAAAGGGCTGTCAATCAAGAGGGAACTTTTACTTCCAGCCATAACATCATCCATTTCTCCGCCAATAGTAGGTTTTTTTCAATTTTGTTTTCGGAAATTAGAGATTACTCTTCGACCATTAGTTTGAACCAACAATCCAAATTTGAAGAAAATTGCCGATCTGAAGGTATACTGTAACCTTAATGGATTATTATTCTTGTATCAAGATATGTACTTAAAAGACCATTCCCTTTTAAAGCTGCTACAGTGTTTTGCTATCACAACTTCAGCTCAACTGGTAATCGAGTGGTTTTTCACAAGCGTTTCATTAGCGATCGAGACTCGCTATCAGAATATAGCTGTCATGTCTGTTTGGCAAAGAAGATGGAAAAGACACATTTTATTGGCAGTTGTAGTTACTATCATATTAGCAATATGGATTAGCGCAAACCTTTTAGACATGGCACATGAGCGTTTTAAAGAGCCCTTAAATCAGCCTTGTGAAATGCCGTTTGCCTAGCTAAGACTAGCTAGTTTACCCAGCAGGTAGTGAATGCTACCTGTAAGTTATTATGTATAGAGTATACTTAGAACCGGATTTCTTGCAGAGCAGAACAATTCTGTACTTCGTACACAGTATACATAAGCCTTGCTCTAGAATTATGTTCTTAGTAGTTACTTATGAGTAGCAAATTCTTATGTTTAGAAATATCACATGTCCCTTCATTTCAGACAACAACCAATGCTATTGGTGACCATTTTCTCATAGAAATCTCAGGCTCGTAGTCTAATTGTTAGGTAATGTGGACTGGAGTCCGTTCATTTAATGGCAACTTTTTCTCCTATTTTATGAAATTTAGAAATATTACAGGATAATTCAATTTCCAAGAAGCCTAGAAAAGAAAACTGACCTTTTGTTATTTTAAAAACCTCAAAATTGTTTAATAAACTGATGAGCGCGAGTAAACACGGCTGCAAGTTTAATTCAAACGACACTTCAATCCGCACGTGACTTTGCAAAAGGGTGAAATTTAGTAATATATTCAATTAGAAAAATATTTGAAAATTTTCAATTGAAGGAAATTTAGTCAATTGTTCCAACTCGATTAGATTGATCGCTCTCCATGATGCTTGATTCTGCTCAGCTATTACCTCATAGAAATGTCACTTACGTTTTAATCCACTACGTTCAAACGAACGTAAATTATTTTCGCCTTAAACACCCAGTGAGGCACATAAAGCAACAACAAGAATATGGTTGGATTCTCCCAGGTAAATAACTCGATGATGTCTTAAATTAAGTAAAGGAATGACCAAAAAAGAAAATGATAAAACAAACTGGTGTTATTTTAGCTCCGAATATGCAAAAAGTAAATAAAACAACAAACTAGGAAAAGTGCAAATGACTGCAATGAGTGAAGGCTAGCAACTTTAATCTTTTAATAGCGATGTCGGGAGGGAATGCACAAGCTACATATCCTTACTAATCCATTCCTGCCAGTTGTTCGCCATCAGTTAAATCACCTGATGGTCCCTTATTTTTTCGGGGTAGTATGGGCTACCCACGGGAATTTGTTCTTGAGGTCTGTCCCCTGGGTAGGGATTTCAATCGTCCACGAAATCCTCAGGATAAGGATTATGACACTGTCGGCATCTTGAAGGACCAAGAGAATCTGGTAACGAACCATCTGCCATCTTGTAAATATCCAGAAGTCAGTGGGAGTTAGTAAGGTCTTTGTCCGGTACCCGATGGAAATTATGTCAGATGAAAGTCAAAGAAGAATCTATTTTTGCATCCTTTCATGCAGGCCATGCATACTTTCACTCTATACTTGGTGCATATTGAAAGGAAAGAGCTTTGGCTTCGTCTATTTTCAGTGTCGATAATTTTCTGCATGCTTGAATATGCATGAGTTTTTTTGCCCCAGGGTGGAGAATGTTGATACTTTTTACCAATCACTTTGTCCCATGTTGTTAAAATCCCCACCCCTTGTCCCCACCCACCTCAGGCTTGACATTGATGGGTGCACAAGTTTCTGATTTCTTTATTCAATTCATTACGTCAAAGATATGCGTATACACGTATGGGTTAACAGGTTGCCGTAAAGTTACGTGACGCAATTGGCCGGAAAAGATGGAAAAAGATGGGAGACTGGTTAGTTGAATGGATTGTTCTTTATCTAACACTCTCCCGACACTCCCTCTCACATACCCGACTCCATACCAAGCAAAATATCTTTTCACATTCCGAGCTGATACCAGTTTATTTTTATTTATTTATTCATTTATTTCATTGTTTTTTAATTATTTATCTTTTCTTGGTTATTTCTTCATTTAATTTTAAATATTTGTCTCATAATTGTTATAATTTTTTTGAGAAGGTGAATAATCAACATGACACGAGCGTGGGACAAAGAAAAATTCTAAGTCCCCGACAGGAATCGAACCTATGACCTCCCGGATACCGGGCGGGTGCTCTATCCACTGAGCTACGAGAACTCATGGAGAGCAGGGTCATTTAACTGAGTTCATATATTTGGTGTTCCGGAATGTTCCCTGTTCCGGCTTTTACCGACGGCCTCAGAAGTAAAACAACGCTCGCACACGTTTCCCCGCACTTCGCGTCTGCTACGAGTTCACTTATCTGTATCTAGGGCTTGTCACAAGTTGCTCGAGATTTCCCAAAAGGTTGCCCGAAACTTCTCAAAAAGTTGCTCAAAAGTTGCTCCAAAAAAGGTCAAAAGTTGCTTTTTGTAACGAAAGTTGCTCAAAAGTTGCTAAAAAAGCAAAAACTTGTTTTTTGTTTCTCTCTTCATTTATTTGGTCTGATGCAAAATATGCAATCTGTACAACAAAAGTAACATGTCTAAGCATTTTTGTGCAATTTTGCGTTGTAACCAGCGTCGCTAAATAAATTTGTTCACAACACGTATGAGTAAATACTACGCATCAATATCAAAATTTGTTTTTAATTTTTTTTTTAAAAAAATTTTAAAAAATTGTACAAAAATTTTAAAAGAAATTTAAAAAACTTAAAGAAATTCACAAATTGTTTACTGGAACATTGTAAAATGTGGAAATATGGCCAATTAAAGTAATAAAAGCTGCTCTGATATCTAGAAAACTAGAAATTGCTCAGAAAGTTACTCGAAACGAAAAAAGTTGCTCGAAATACGAAAACTTGCCAAAGAGTTGCCGAGCAACTTGTGGTAAGCCCTACCTGTATCCTCTGTGGTTGACCTGAGTGATTACTTTGGTTTTGGATTTACGACACTCATCACAAGGGCGATCTTTGCTGACGTCATTGTTTGCATTTTGCCTCATTATCGTAAACTCCCGCTTATAACCCCCCCCCCCCTCCAATTCCGGTTATAGGCCCATCTACTTGTAAAGCAAAAAATAAAAAATAAAAAAATATGGTTATAAGCTCCCGGATATAAGCCCCGCTTTAGTTTTGAATTCAATTTATCATGATGTTTTAACGCTTGATTTCCAGTAAATGAAACCCATTTCAATTAACATGTGCAGCTATAGCTCTTTTCGAAACCGTCAGTTTTTCTTTTTTCCGGTTGTAGGCCCCCACGGATATAAACCCCTCCGTTTATAAGCCCGTCTAAAAGTCCATACGAAGTTCTCTAAGCTTGGGCGGCCGAGCCCGTTTCTCGAAGGTCTCGAAAAGTTTTCGCACCCGGAAAGTCATAGCAAAATCTCGAACCTTTTGATTACAGAGCTGTTTTATTCACTTATTCTTAATATGAACAGAGCTTCCCTTCATACAAGAAGTTTCAGGCGTATACACTTCTCCGTTTTTAGATACAGATGAACTAAAACTGGCTTTACGAGCCTGAAAAGTTTTCGGGACTTTCGAGAAACGGGCCCCTGTAGGGCTTAAAAGCGGTAGTTTACGGTATACCCCAGCATACGGCTTTGCATGGAGAACTGAGTCATCCCAAGAACTATGTTTTTAGAGGTGTAAATGGAATGATGAAAATATTGACTTCCAAAATTTGCAAAATTTCTGAGCGGCAAAAGCGCCAAGAAACCCATACATTCATTGAATTAAAATTTTAGGTTTTTTAAAAGTACGCATGTCACATGAAGTATGTAATACATCGGGCTCAACTTCGTTGGGACAGCTGATCGTTGTCTACACTTTCATTATATTCAGAACCTCCATCAGAACTTAAAGGGGCTAGGTCACGCTATTTTAGGTAATTTTGTTTAATTTTGTCAGTTACGAGCTCTATACGTCAAATTGGCAGAGCAAAAGTCTTTCATTTGCAAAATCATGGCCACATAACAACCGAGAATGATTTTCCAGCTGTGTAAATGACATTTTGATCTAAACTGATATAAATTTGAAAAAAGGTGGGCCGACGTTTTTGAAATTTACCCAAATGCAATCCATTTTAATCCTCTCCAGTTTTGTCCATCCATGTCCCTTCTTGGCTTTCCTGTGTTTTGTTTGAGATCTTCTACAGTCTTGAGCCGTTTTTGTGATATTTTAGTTAATTCTGTGACCATTTGACTAGTGTTGAAATTGCCTAAAATTGCGTGACTAACCTGCTCGTGAATGCTAATGAGGCAAAACAAAGTTTTAGGTCCTACTACTTTTCCGAGCCTTCAAGAGCTGTGACATTCGGTGTAGCATACATGACAAAAAATAACTCAGTCGCCCGTTCGAACCGCTGGTCGATGTTCGATTGAAAACTGTTGAAAAATACTTGACTTGTGGATCGTCTTGTAGCTGCGCTCTTGAATACACATGTAAAATGAATTCTTGCTCGAGTCACAGCCATTGCAATCCTTACAATGCAACCAGAAGTCGTCTTTTTCTATGGTCCTCCTTTTTCGGTGAGTGATCATGCTTTGGAGAAGATAAACAATGTATATATTTTTTTAAATACTTAAGCTTATCGTTTTTATGCCTCTTCAAGGGAAAGGATTTGTTCTATTGTTATCACTTTTCTCACACACACGAGAAGATTAATCCAGGAGAACTGTTTGAAACTGATCCCAGCCTGAGCCTCAGAGCAGTGATCCTGAAGATTGTGAATGTTCTCAATAAGGTAATCATGATTGGAACCTCTTGGGACATTTTACATGTATACCATCTCCTTTACCCTGGCCTCATGAAATTTAGGAGACTCATGACAATCTAAGTTTTGAAGAAGGGGATAAAAGGTTCAGTCTTGACCTGACATTAAAACAACATGACATTATTCCCGGAGGGTGGTGCAGACCTCTCAACCTCAAAACACCAAAAATCTGGAGACTGATGTAAAAAAATCTGGAGATTTCAGTAAAAATCTGGAGATTGATCGACCGACAGACGAAACTAAGTAAACACAGGTTCTAATTAAGAGAAAGTGTTTTGTTTTTTGTCAAAATGCGAGAGACTGGTAATGATGACCTAATTTGGAACAGGTGTTCTATATATGGTCATGGACAACAGTCTGTCATGGACATGTGTTTCCAGTGAACAGACGGATGCAGAACTGAACAGTTTTGTTAAGTTCAACTATGGATTTGTACAGAATTGGCACAAGGAACTCACCTGAGCAAGCCAAAACTGAAATTATACAAAAAAATTTATCCTTTCAGCTTACACCTCTATTTATCGTGAAATTTGTCTGTCTCAGTGTGAGACTGTGAGATTGAACTGAAAACTGTGAGTCTCACGACAAAGTCATGAGACTTGAGAGGTCTGAGTGACTGGTGGGTGGACTCCTACATAAAATGGATGGGGGTGCATGTCACACCTTTTAGGAGTCAAACAGGGGTTTTGGTACTACTAAGGGTGTTCAGCCTTAAAAGGTTCACAGCAGGAGCTTTTGCGGTGAGGCAAAAAAAGTCAATGTCAGTTAATGTGTAGTTTGAGAATTGGTACCTCTTAGAGGTGAAAGCAATTCAAGCCATGCCCACAAAACATTATCTTGGTTCTGTTTAGGGGTTCTTTTCAAAATTTCTGACGAGCACCCCCGTCCTTATTTATAGGAGTTCTCCCTGATAAGATCGAGTGTAACTCTGCATACCTATTCTAGCAAGTGAAATGCAAGCTATGTTACAATGAACATCTGTTTTTTACTCTGATGAAGGCAGACAGTTGCCACCAAAAATTCAGTGAACAAAATACCTGCAGATCAGATATATTTAAGTCAAATAATACAAGTGTATGTCAAGTGTAATTCAGTGGAGAAACTTATTAATGATAGTGAAGATATCAGTCACATCACCTATTGTTATTAAATTATGTGCCAAACAGAGATCTATTAGGCGGTGAAACAAAGAGTTTTTTCCTTAATTAAAGAGAGAACTCTTTGTCTCACCACCTAATGGTACTCTTTAAATAAAAAAAAAAATTTTGTAACAGTTACACATATCTTCCCTATAAAACTCTCACAACTATTAAAAGAAAAAATATTCCAGAGGATCAGGAAAATAGAGTAGAAACATACAGTCAAGTAACAAGCATTACCATTAAATCCAAAATTATGTTATTCATGATAATGATGGTAGTTCTTAAATATATATATGAGAAATACTTAGTATAGTTAAGTATCCATGTAGCTCCTGTGCGGCAAAATGATACAAAGTCCCCATGGTTACATTCCCTCCCTCCCTTGATCCATCCATCTTTCCCTTCCTCTCTCTTTTTCCTCCATGTATTGTACATGTTAGTTGCTGAATAAATTGATCATCATTATCTTATAACCTTTTTTAAATGAAGTGGTCTTCCTGTTCTTTCTGTAGAGAAGGCTACATTTTCATTCACTTTCTCTGAGTGTGATCCACTTTGGTGTGGGAATAGTATTATATGCAAGCTTGTTTCAGAGTTTCTTAAGTTATGATTAAGTTCAATATCCCAGTCAACCTTGGCTTATTGTCACCTCTTTGCACTAACCAGGATTTCTCATCCTGACCACGCACCAGTTCCCTAGGTACAGTGTATCTTATTACCGTTGGATTGGTACATGTATGTATTGCATATAGCTTAGTATTTGAACTGATCTCTTGTCTCGTAAAATTTAGGGTCAAAGTGTGGTTGTGGATGATGATAATACTAGCAAGAAAACCAGGAAGTCATACTTGACTGTTCTTAGGAATAAGGTATTGTTTCTTATAATTTGCTGAAGATAGTTGGCATTTTAATCTGCCGCTTGATATGCCTTTGTACCTTTCTTTCTATTACATATGATTTCCATGCATTATGTTTGAAAGCTATTGTTTCCATTTAGGTTCCACAGTGCCGATTCAGAGTAATTCATTTCCAAGCATCAGATTCTAGTGCCCAGTTAATTTGTCAGTGGGCCAGAGAATGGGAACTGGCTCATCAGTTTGAATGTTCAGGATTGAAGTCATTGAAGCTGTCTGAAAAGGTTATTGAACAATGGTTTGAGACAAGAACTGGTAAGAACATGCAGTCATGTATGTATGTAGGGGTGCAAATGTAAGTCAGAGTGGGTGGTAACTGCATCACTTCTGAGTCAAGTTAATGAAGATTTCAAATATCTTCTCAGAATTATTTCTGTGGATAGTTTGACAATGTTTAAGCTACTACATCATCCATAGTGCAGATTAGGTTGAAGATGCTCTCAAGTATACACTTTAAATTACATTTGTAACTTATTACAGTCACAAAAGAACTTTTGCCTCGGTTGTTTTGTTGTATTCAGAACCAGTCTCTGAAGAAGAAGGGTTCAGCAAGATTGATAAGGTTGATGTTCAGTTGGTGTGTGATACACCTTACGAAGTAAGTCAAACCTTATAATACATATAAGTACAGTCATACAAAAGCATAGTTGAGTTGTTTTCACATCATCTCTTTTCACATACTTGATTCTTCAAACATTCAAGAGATGTTTGAAATTTTACACAATGTCCCATTCTGATGCTGTAGCCCTACAAAGATTTTAATGTGTCTCTGAGAACAACTGATCTATACAGATGTGTTTAGCACCACATTAATAGTATGCAGATGTAATGGGGGAAAGGCAGCTTTTGAACAAATATTTTTTCGTAAAGTACTTTGTCTGGATTTACACATTCCAACCATAACAACCTCAAAGCAAAAAGCCGGCATTTTTTCCAGGAAAACACAGACTTTTTGATCAGTCACTCATAAGCAACCTGTCACTAGAGAACACGCACAACCATTTGCTTGTGTTTGGCATGCTAACTACTAGTCCCTAACTGCACAGTTACACTCACTGAGGCTTTCCTGAAAAGGAAATGTCCACTGTTTATCCTAAAAGCCTCTTTTTTACCCACCCCACCCTCCTGGGTTAAAACCGTTCATGCTAGACCTGGTACCTGCTGGTAGCTGGGGCCTTGGCATGGGGACTATGCTGGAATACAAAGTTTTTACATTAAACCAGCTGGCTTTAAAGGCGTCAGGGGAGCCTGACCTCCAGCTGATTTGAAGTTCCAGGCAATATACCCTCACCAAAAATTACAAGACAGGAGTCCCTGCCCGGCTAAATTACCTTGACAGAGTTTTATTTATCTCTCTAAATCTAATCTCTCTTTGAATTTATTTTTTCTTTGGATGCACAGTTTACTGTCCCAGCCCTCTTTCTCCAGTGGGAAGCACTATTAGAAGATCGTGAAGATCACGTGAATATTCAGGAAAGCATGGTTGATGTTGTCAACAGGTGGAGCTGCAGTAATACACATGGAAGAGTTATTGTACTCAAGCTGAGTGAAAAACACACCTGTAAAGGTGAGGTATTATAACAGTCTTACCAAGATCTCAGGCTATACAATAAGTTTTTTGAACTTCACATTGTGTCTTAATTTGTTCAGCATATTTCTTAGCCTGCATCCCTAGAATTTAACCCAGTAAATGGTGATAATGCTGGGTATGTTATCAAACTTATGGACTGAATATTTGAATTTGGATATTTTTGATAATTTTATGTTATTTCCTTGTATATAGCAGGGCTGTCATTAAGTTTTGAGTCAACTCTAGTCAAACATTTGTTAACAGTTGTAGTAATTATCAGTAATTGAATATTTGACAATACAATTTTATTTTCTTCAACTAACACCAGAGGAAAGTTGTGAGTGTGGGGACAAGATGAAGCAGATTATCAGTAAATTGGTGTCACAGGTAAATTTTATAACAAAAAAAGCTCAATAAGTTTCTTCATCTTTGGTGCCCTCTCCTCCTTAATTGGCACCTTCTATAACTTCTGTGTCCAGATAATAAAACATCCCCTATTTTTCCTCTTCCCTAGATGGTAAGCCATCTCACAATAATTTGTTAACTGCAAAATTAATATCTGTGAGGTAACTACGTGTTAGAGTTGCCTATTCTCTGCCATGTTGACTTTTTATTCTGGCTCTTTGATAGGCCCTGGGTGATGCCTAATTAGAACAGAATTACAGAGCTCTTCTCAATCTAGTTCTATATATTTGATAGTTTATTTGTGATTTAAAATAACTCCCTCATAGTCTTTTTTATTTTTTAAACTCCTTGGCTGCTAGAAATAGCATTTCAATTACACTAGGTAAATGAAAGAAAAATGGCCTACAGAGCAGCTACAATGTGACAGGATTGACTCCTCCTTAATAAGCTCGACTGTGCTTATGAAGCTGTCATATCTACACTGACTGATCTTATCATTTTTTGTATATTTGAGGTGACCATTCCTGTGTTCTTTGTGCACTTGTGTTCATTCATGTGGCAATTCAGCAGACCTCCCAATCCAGGAGTGTTCGCTTGTCTTCAGAGACTTCACAACATTGATTTGTTAAACAGGGTAAAGTTAACAGTCTGCCGTTTCATGTTTTTTGTAGCATAGTTTGTGATCAAGTATCTTTTGGAATCCCATCTTGGAGAATTTGTTGACTTTCCTGGAGCCTGCTACTTTCCACAGGAGTGATACTAAAATAAGGCTTTCTCTAATCAGGGAACAAGAATCAAAAACTATTTAATACTTATAGCTTATCGTGAAGAAGTACCTAAAACAGAAATTGTTCCACTGACTGAGTTTTGACAGACAGATTTTTTCTCAAAACGAAAGAGTGCAATGAACAAAACTAAACTTTTGTAAGTTAAGAGTGAACTGTTCTACAAGTCATGTAGTTACTCATGTGTCCTGTACATTTTGTAATTTTATACTGTTTTCACAAGTGACATGACTGACATGATCCCAAATTGATTGTATTATGTTTCATATCTGTCTCCTCTGTAAAGCTGAGAAAAGTTAAATAAATTTTCTTGTCTTCGTGTCTCTTGTCTTTTCTTGACATTGAATAATAAAACGGTGCTGTTTGATACCGTGCAGTGAACTCTGGTTTGCATGTACGATAATACATGTAATGATAATAATAAGAACACTGTAAACGAATTGTGCATTTGGCTCGCTGTGTTTTGTTCCCTTATTCAGGCCACGTTCTATATCAATTCAAGTGACGCTCAGTCAAAGGCGGCCACCGCGGCAGGAGTGAAGAGTATCAAGGTGAAACCATTTTTGCAAAAATGCAAAACGTGCAAGTCCATTCATGTTGTTGTTTTCTTACGTGTATTACTAATTTTCATGTATTCCACTGTCTGTGAATGGTTAAAGAAATCATGTGTTTCTTCTCCACTAGGCAATTAAACTATTCCACAATCCACAGATGGTAAGTGCAATTCGTGCTCAATAACACGCTTGTATTCACAATGATTCCACTGGCATTTGCAAGTAAAACATATTTCCTACTGTTATCTGAAATTTCATTCGAGTTCATTCGAATCTGCCAAAGTTTTGGATCAAGAGGTCGAGGAGATGGCTGGCTTTTCATGCTAAAATAATTAAAAAAGTAAATAACTTTATGAAGTGTCAAATGTATTTAGTACTGTTCTGCTAATTGGAGACACTGTAAATAAATGAACAAATAATATTTCAAATAGAACAGAAATTTTTAAGAATCCCAACTGGTGAGAGGCTGAGCAGTTGGCTAACTTCATTTTTCACGTTTCGTTTGGCAGATTAATGCTGTGCATTGTAGAGTGGCAGCACAAGTCCCTGAATATGTCAGCAAGGCAAAGCTAGCATGGTTCGGTTCCCACAACAGGCCTGAAGCTTGTCTTCCTCTCTTTCGTGAGGCTGTTAAGTCCCAAACCACTGCCAGTGTTCATCACATGTCACCGCAGTGTGTCACTGCAGCAAGGAACTCATATGTCCATGGAGTGTGCTTTAAAGACTTTGAAACTTTGGGCAGGTGCCTGTTACTTATTAGCATTAATATTATTTTCATTACATCTATCTGTTTTTAAGTGGTGCTTGCTGCCATTCACCAGTGAAAGAGCCAATGCCACCTGCATAAGGAAAATCCCATATAACGAACAACCTTTTCCGAACTCAGCAAATTTCTCTGACGTGATATTAGCCCTTAAATAACTTAGAAGGAGGCAAGGCGTTGAATTTTTGAGCTCGATTATAACGGACAACTGATCAGTTAGAGGGGTTAACAAGTGGTGGCCCATGAAATCGTGGTTTTACCGAATCACATTATCAAACTGATACTAAGATTTCGAGGAAACGGTTTTTTCAAAACGTAGTGTTACGTAACTGCTCGTTTTCAAATTCAACGTGAAAATGAAGAAGTCGCGTAAGGAAAGTTCGCGCAAAAATATCTCGTCGGCGGTCTCAACAATACCTTTTAACAAGTACTTTATCAAAGGGTGGGTGGATAACGCTATCAACCGGATAAGTTGCTATTCAATTAAAAAAAAGCTTCTGCCGGGCTGATTTGTTCAGTTACTCAGCCTTTGAACCCGGGAGAGGGCAAACTGAACAGTACACATTCATTTAGAAAAGTAGAAAATATGAACGAAATTGATGAATCATGTCATATTGCTGTTTTGGCAGGTTCAACTCCCAGTACAAACATGCTGCAACACCAACAAAACCAGCATCACATGATATATTCAACTACCATCAGTCCTCCAGTGAACTGAAAACATGCAACTGGGGAAAAGAACAAAATGTTCAGTGTAACTTGGTTTCCTCTGAAGTACCTGGAGCAAGTATCATACCAACGGACAAGTCTCCTGTGTGCAGTAAAGTGAATGAAAAGAAACGTAAGCTGTGAATTGTTGTTGCCTTATTGTATTGTAAAAAGAAACACGTTATGTAAGTTACCAAAGAGAAACTTTGTTGATATATGAACAAATTATTCCAAGCATGCAGGATTTAAGCAATTTTTCCGTGCTTTATTAGCCACATCTAAACACGAGAGAATTTGGGAGAATTCGAGACAGTTATGTAAACCTGAGACGCATGCTTTTATCAGAGATTTCTCAAAGGTACTCGCGAATCTAAAATGTCACAACCAAGTTTTCGTACTCTCATCTAAACCAGTGAGTGCAGGCGTAGTATCTCATTTATTTTATAAAACGTGCTTAGAGACCTCGGGGCCCCGTTTCTTGAAAGCCCCGGAAACTTTTCGGGCCCGTAAAGCCATTTTTAGTTCATCTGTATCTAACAACAGAGAAGTGTATACGTCTGAAACTTTTTGTATGAAGGGAACCTCTGTTCATATTAAGAATACGTGAATAAAATAGCTCTGTAATCAAAATGTTCGAGTTTTTGCTATGGCTTTCCGGGTGCGAAAATTTTTCGGGACCTTCGAGAAAAGGGCCCCGCAGTCCCGGGTTGTTCGAAAAGTGGATAATGCTATCCAGTGGATAGCGTGGTTTGTTTTGTTGACTCTTATTCACTGGATAGCGAATTATCCGGTGGATAGCGTTATCCAGTCTTCGAAAAACCGGGGCCAGGGAGGTGAAGTTTGCATCCTTCACATTGTGTGAGAATAACCGTCGTTATTGTTGCCGATTTTGTGGTCTTTGTGTTTTTTTTGTTTTTAAATTTTTTCGTCCTCTAACTCCCTTCTAGTTCCTGACGCTATTTGTCCAAGTCTTATGGTGAAACATTTAACGAGAGAGGTGATTGAGAGCCATGCTTTCAGTTCAGGTCATTTCAGGCGAGGTGAAGGCTGCACGAAGCTCATCCGTAATGTTAAAAGTACCATGGTGGAAGATGGCATGCAATTTACCTGTCAATGTGAGTACGGTCTCCATGTGTGCTTTATCTAAACCGCTTTACCGAAATTGTTTTGCTGAACAGATTACTTATGCTGCTCTGCACATTGTGGCCGCTTTTCATCTGTCCAAAGAGTCTGGTTTCAATTTCCGGATACTCCCCTGTGATTGGGACATCATGTTTAGGTTCACAACCTTGTTTCAGTTACATGTATACCCAAATATTCGAATTGTTCGTTCCATTCAATTTTGCTCCCGTAATTTATGCAGTTTTCGGAATTCAGTGATTTCTATTTCGGAAATTCCGCAGTTTTCGAATTCTCTACAAACTTTCTCGGGAAAGTTTCTGTCCATTGGCTTCCATTCCTAGTCTACCGAATTTTCTTCACTGTACTTTGGTAAGCGTTTTTCAAAGAAATTTAAATTCGCGTAGGCTGTGTTAAGTTCCCAGCTATAGGATCTCGGCGCTCTTACATTTTGCTGTCAGTAGATCTTAGTTCAGCCATGTGTTAGGTGTAATTGATAACTGACGCTCTGGTGCTTGTGTTGCCGGTTTTTTATATCACAGCAATTGTTGTATGGGACATTTATTTCCTGGTATTTTTCTGTGCTGTTGGAGATGGACTGCTGATATTTTGTTTTCCCAACAGGTATCGGGTCCCAAGGTCAATTCTATGATGTGTCAGCAGTCGTCAGTCAGAAAGGTAGGTAAGCAAACGGCCATGTTAAGGTGATATTCATCACAAGACCCTTTCTAAACAGATTAGGTGCAAACATCGGATTGGATAGGATTTCCGTTACTCTGTGACCTGTTATCAGTACCGCCTACCTCCTTTTGATCCCATCGGGTGTTTAAAGCGACAAAAAACGAGACCCAGTTCTGGGAAGTGTTCTTCTTGACCGGCCCTGTGTGACGCATCCTACCTGATGGCGTCATGGCAATAGATGTACTCCCAAAAGTGTGCGTAATAGATTGTCGTTGATCTGGTGATCTTCCCTTTGAACTGCTCTACTCGTGTTTCAAAATGTTTCGTGTGCTGCGCGCCTTACCGTTGCCAACTAGGAAAGTTATTGATTAGTTTTTGACCCCTTTGTGACATCTTTTCGACAACTTCAGATGGCTTCCGTTTCAAATGGCCAATCAAACTTGTCGCTGGTCTCGAACGTTCGCAGGTTGAGACTTTTTTAAATTCCCGCTAGAGTGAATGATGAATTTGACAATTTTACATCTCCGCCCTCGATAGTTCCCATGTTTTGATTGGCCTACTCAAATAGAAAGTAGCAAAAAATTGTCAAAAATAGGTCAAAATTTAATAAAAAACTTCAAGTGGGATCGGTTCGGTGTAAGAACAATTTAGTGGCATCTCATTTAATGGTTTAGTGTATGCATCATCATTGTCATTTAGCTACCAAAGACGATCAAACTATGTGACAAAGAAGAGGTGTTATCTTCAAATATGGAAAACAACCATTGTTACTGTTGTAATTTTGTGGTCATTGTACTGACAGGTCTTGAACGAGCTGGGTGTTGTTGTGCTGATCCCGCAAGTAAGCTGGGAAGATGTAAACATGCAGTTGGCTTGTTACTTTGGTGCAAGAATGAGAAAAACGTACGTTATCTTGAAGCTATGTTGGAGTTTTATGTTGCTCTTTCTGTAGACATTTCCTTTCGTTATTACTTGTATGGAGAACATACTCATCGTCTAAGGGCAATCAGTGCCCAGCGAAACGGCTGAAATGGCACTGAGAACATGATTATATCTTCTTGTTATTTTTTTGGTGGGGGGGAGGGGGGTTGAAGGACAGGGGAAGGGTTGGCAAAGCACCCGATAATTTCTGCTGCTACTGTGCTGAAATCTGATTTGGTTATTGCGGCTTTTACGTTGGCTTGAATAGAACTGTAATTGTTTCCAGATAAGAACTGTACTTGGAGATAAAGTGAATGTGAAGCTTGTTGTCATTGCAGATGAAAGAAATTAAGAAGGCCGTGCCTTCAAGCAACCTGGAACATGTGATTACAACAGCCGCAAAACGAAAGGTAGCAATGGAGCAGTAAGGTGTTACTCTTTTACATCATGTTTATCTTATTAGGTTGTTAACTTGCGTCGGAGAAACCACATAACCATTTGCCAGCTAATCTGATGGCTGCCCCATACGGTGATCACTACCTATAATCATCTTTGTCCATTCTTGAACCACTGAGAACCTCTCGCAATTTCTCCATCACACCGAACAGCGTTCCACTTTCAAAAATACAACCTATGCCACCATGGAAACTGGTATCTACAGTGTCAGCGACACTGCAACAAACGCCAACATATTACAAACGAGTAAGATCCCTGCAACAGTCAACTGAACATAACTAAAACGAACAAGAGAAAGCATTACAAAACCTGTAACATCTGTGCTGGGTGATAAAGGAAGATAACGCTGGCGCTGCATTGTAGACACCTTTTGCCATGAGAAGCATAAAGGAATAAGTTAGTACGTCAGTTTTCAGTATAAATAACTGCGAAAGGGCGTTGGCTACCAAACCCACTAAACCCACAACGCATGGCTCTGTGTTGCGTCCATAAGTTCAGGGTGTCTCTGGAACAATTAGCCGCGTATAAAAACAGCAGCAGATTCATGCTTGATTCAAGCCACAGAAAATTTCTATCAGCAGTCGTTTTGCTCGACCAAAGCAGCAGAAACCGACCGTCCATCAACTGGGGTAGCACACAAAATAAGTTGCAAACAGTGCAATTTTGTATGCTATGGCCAAACCGAACGATCACTGAAGACGCGGGTTCCCGAGCACAAAAAGGCCGATCATAGTTCTAAAGTTGCGCCGGGGAGCTATGTCCACGATTGTTATCATCAGATGGACTCACACAACGTCAAAGTCGTCCGTCATGAGCCACACTGCCACCAGCGGCTTTTCCTTGAAGTTTGGATGTGGGAATGACCACATATATCCCAGAAATCTACAAATGCTTAGCACGCGCTTTAAGTTTTAATCTCGCGAAGGACCAGCTGAAGAGTTAGCTGAAACGTCTTAGTATCATCTACAAAATATGACTCAGTCACAAACATTTATCAGTTGTTTCAACGACCTCTTGCAAGCTATTACGATTATTTTCACTATATATAGGAAGCGATATGTGATGTGTCTTCAAAAGGGAGGGAAGAAGAAGTTCCCTCGACTTTGCGGAAAGATAAATCATTGCCCAAATGGATTTCATCTCTAGCACAGGTAGGACGTGCTATTATTGCAAAGTTATGTTACCTAAGTAATTATAATGGACAAGTTTACACACTACTTTACAGTGCGATTCTCACAACAAGTTTACCTTTCAACTTGTCTTGTAGTCCGCTTCACACGACGGTGATCGAGTAAAGAGACCGAAAGCAGAAGGCACAGTCACTACACAACGCCAGAAGAGGTAATGAGAAGTGTAAGGAATCGATGTCTTCTATGTTAATCAAAGAAGTTACAATTCCCGTGTATTGCAGGTTCAAAACGAAAAAGAGCGCAGAAAGCACAGTGTATTGTTTGAGTCCAGAAGAACTGCTTCAAACAGCTCAGGAAATAATAGAATGGGTGAGAATCACTTTATGACTTAAGCCGACATCTTATGTCCAAGCAACTATTAACTAACTGTTCTATTGCTTTTCTTTTTTCGTAACATTCATTTTGTAAAATAGTATCGTTCCTCCTCGAGTGACCACGGCGTCGACAAACACAAACAACAGGGAACTGATCACAACAGAAGCCGATACAAAGACAGTAGACAGGTGGAACGGAGGTCTAATCAGAGTTCATACATAAAGAAGGAGCCTTATCAGAGAGTGTGTAACAGGTACGGTGAAGCAAATGAACGAACCACCCAGCCACCCTCACTTTGCTCTCTTAATACCTGACGGAATCATCTTTGATTACATTCTTTAGAGCATTAACTCCTAGCAGAGTTTGTTCACTGTAAAGTTTTTGAGTAGAGTCTTTTTGAAGTCCATAACCAACTAATTTCAAAACACAAGTACTTTGTGCAAGAATCTCAAATTTCGAACAAAATCATTCGACAATAGCTAGCTTACTAAATGCATCATCGCTCAGTGAACTTGGCTTGCCTAAATAAGCACGTTTTTGTAGATGATTTGTCGGCTGTCAGTTAATTTCAGTAGAGGGAATGGATGAACATGAAATTTCTCCTTTATTCGGCAATATACTTTCAAACAAACAAGTGATTGAACTGGTGAGAACAATTTGCCTGCGTATATTGCGTTGTTGTCCAAACCAATTTAGGGCAAAACTCGCATTGTGCCTAAAGAGCGCCCAAGCGAGAATCAAGTGACTGGAATTGTTTACAATGTCGAGTGTAGATCGTGTTCGTTTGTATACATTGGCGAAAGCAAAAGATCTTGGAATTCTCGGGGGACAGCACAAGCCTGGCACAAGAGGAAACAATGAATCGGCAATTAAACAGCACGCGGAAACGACTGGACATGATATCTATCCCAACTATGTAGAAGTACTAGAGCGTGGCGTTACCAATCGACAAAAACGCTTATATCTATATGACTAGCTCCGTGAGCGGGCAAGATGAATCAAATCTTGCGCTGTGATTGCAAATCATGCAAATTACAAAATAATTGATTCAAATGTGATGACCTGGGCAAACGTCACAAAAATACACACTCCCCCATTTGCCAAACGCCATTTCCCCCATGACGAGCATACGCTGTACAAAGACAAGTTCGCGACCGGAAACGAAAGTCATTGCTGACATCAACACCACTGCTTATGACCGCTGTTCAATTGTTGTTCGCTAACAAAAGCACGGTCAAGCATTGAATAGCTGTCGTCTCCGATACGCTGTTCTCAGAGCTGCATGTAATTTTTCACAATTAATTGCCAAAGCAAGGCCCGTCGAGCACTATATTTCAGCATTTCGCCAGCAAGTCCTAGCAGTAACAAGCCGCCCATCAAGTGAATAAAACGGGGACACGTGCTTATTCCCGTGCTTTAATGAACTGCAATTTGTGAAATAGGATCGACGCAAGTTCGACGTTTGTTACCACGCTGGAATTAAGTCGACTCTTTGTCGCACCTATTTTCAGTTTATTCGACGCCATTTGGATTCGACGTTTGCCCTACTAGGCCTAAGTGAATAAGAAGTAAGGATATCTGACGCGATATGCAAACTAACCTGAGTAGTTTGTTTGACTGCTTCAGCCATTTTCTTTTCTTTTGTAGAGAAAAACTGGATTCTTCTGTAAACACTGATGTTTATAGCGAGGAAGCAATTGTCAGAGAAAGCTGTCAGCAGTCTTTGCCGAACTGCCCAGATGTTGGTTTAATAAGTGAAGTAATTCCTGAATCTGTTGCAATGAGCACACCAGAATGCTACTCTAAAGAAAATAACCCAACTATTCATGAACCACCCTCACGAATGAGAGAAGCTGATAAATGCATGCAGGAAACACAGCAAGACGTCACTGACCGGGAGAAACATGAACCAGTTACATCAATACTAGACGAGTTTATTTAATGAATACTTCAACATGTACAGATTGTGTCATAACACAACATAATTATGATGATACCGTCACATTTTTCACTTATTTTTGTTTAAAGCAAACGAAGGAAAAAGAAACCAAGTGTGTTGTTTTGCTTTCTGAGGAGACAGTTATATTTGTCATACGCCGATACTCACCTGGACGTTCAGTTTATATGGTTTGGGAGATCAGAGAGTGTTGGCGGCGTTGATCATAGCAAATGGGGCTAGCACAGAAATGTCGGTTAAAATTGGCCTATTGAGGGTTAAGTAATGTTACTGCAAAAGGTCGTGTTCAAAGTTCGCATTATCCAGTTTCATCGTTGTGTAAAGTTTGTAATATTTTTAAATTAAAATCTTCTAGGATTTATCTTGGTTGTTTCTTGTTAAGCATGAGTCATATTCCAAGGCCAATTCAGTCTCATTATCAGACAAAAGACAGTTTGTTAACAGCAATTGTTGTCAGCCTAAATTCCTTCATTTCCTGTTGTAATTGTGTGCCTTTTCGCATTTGGTTTGGAAATCTTTTCCTTTATTGTAGCATACACATCCTGTACCGGTCCTGCCCTCTGGACATTGTCCCTGATGCGATGAATGTCATTTCCCAGGGGTCTGTACAATGCTACAACTATGACGTATTTGCCGCTTGGGCTTGGTGCTGCACCCATTCCTAATTGAGTGGTGTCTTTCCAAACCATCTGCGTGAAGTGCTTCACTTTATCGTTCAGCTCTGGATAAGAGAAGCTGAAAGCCTTCTTTTCACTGTACCATATCGTTGTCGCCTTCAGAGGCGCTCTCGGTAGGTCGTGCCAAATCTGAGCGATGTTCTCACCGACTGGCTCCCCTTGGAAGGTGGAAGGGTCGCTGGCTACAGATTCTGCTGTGCGCTGGGCTTGTTCAGCTAGGGTAGCATTCCACTGAAGAGGGAACACGTGATGCATCGCCCTGAGTTTGTTATGAGCCACCAGGGCTTCTTGAAATACTGCATCTGTTTTGATAGAGAATAGTAATACATTTTCCTGTGTCACATATGGGCTTCAGAACTAAACAAAATACAGATTTTCCCCTTCCATTTACCCTTCAAGCCCCAGTGCAAATGTAGCATTTTTCTTATAGTGCAAGGTATGGAACCTTTCTACCTTCCAAAAACTCTGTTACCTCGTTTGTATCCCACAATTTAAAACTGAAAACCTCGATTCTCTAAATCGCCACCTTCTGTCGATACTTACTGCTGCCAGTGCTGCTCCTGTTACTGGGGGTGACACTGGTGATGATGTTGGTGGCCATGGTAGGGTTGGCCAAGGTGGTGGTGTTAGGAAGAGTTCCAGTTCCACTGGTATTTTTGGGCTTATCCTCCTGTTTAACGACGGCAATGCTGTCATTCTGAGGAGATTGGATGTTTCTGTTTTCATCATGCCTCTTCTGTTGATCTGCTTTTTCCTCGGCGATGTATATCTCGAGGGTTTTACGTGAAGCGGCTTTTGGTGGGTATCATGCACATGCAGGGGAAAAAAATTGAACAGAGTATGTCTATCTTTAAATGGAGATCTCACCCAGAGTTATCTTACTACCTCGAATGAACATCTAAGAGACCTGGCAAACTTTCTCTTCGCGAAGAATATACTGGAATCTTCAGAAGCTGATTCACCCGTATTTCTTCCTTAGATGTATAAGCCGGACAGAATGGACTGTTTGGCTGACTGAAAGCTCCTGAATTTCTTAGTTGTTAATACTCCGACTAGTATCACGAGTACTGAGAGGGCGTTTAAACGAGTTAGGGGGGTAACAGTGGTGCAACACCTCAAACTAGCTGCGAGATTAGCTTCCTTTCAAAACGTGAGCCTCTCGGTAAAGTAAGTTACTAATTATTTCTATGCTCTCTCTATATACGCATTTGTCAACTGGACTGAACAAGGGATTATTTACGCAAGTAACTCACCTTCTGCAATGGACTCTTCTGGCCCGTATGCCGATTGCTTGTCATCTTCAGCCCCGACCAGTAAACCTTTGTTCTTTAGCTTGTTTAACTCTTTTCCCAAAAAATGACCTATTATAGAATACAAAGTATCATATAATCAATACTCTAGACACATCTGTAGGATAATTTATGTTTTCTTTTAACTAAAAATGAGATTTAATTGAAGAACACTCTTCAGGATTTTACTGACCGAATCGAATATAACGGGCAAGGCCTTTCTCTGGAAGGAAAGAGTTTACAACTGTGTGCTCCGTATAAGTTGGACATGTTTTTATTGTAACCCACCTGGTCGCCTTCCATCTTGGATGATAAATTTGTCGTCATCCTGAGATTTGTATGGGCGCACAGCATCGAGTATCTCCTCCTTATTTCTCTCTCTTCCCGTTACTTCACTTAATATGTCTGTAGCAGGAGCTGACGTATCGTTTAATTCTTCCTCGTATTCACGTGTTTCATCAGTACCATCTGTAAATGCAACAAATCATGTTTGTGCGGTACAACCATCCCCCGCCTCTAATGTTACGCGAAGGGAGTAGTCCAAAGGCATTCAATGAACGTTTCTGATTACCATCTATACAATGGCTTTCCACTGACATAATTTCTTGGTACTATCGAGTTCACTTGAAATATTAGTCTGCTTCTTAGCTCTCGGTCACTGTCCTCGTGAATGAAGGATGACGGATTATTTACGTGGGTGATATGTAGGAGGGATGTTAAGATATAACCCTCAGGATTGCCTCCTACTTCAATTCCCCGAATGTTCCGTACACGAGATTGCCCTCAGTGGGGCCGATAAACAAAAGATATGAATCATGTGAATCTAGAAAATGAAAATGACTAGCAAATAGTTAATGTGCTAAAGAAATATCAATAAGGTCCTTTCAGAAGTGTCAACTTTAGAGGCTCGCTAATGGTGTTAATTACGTCGATACAGTTATATACCTTCTGGAAGTGGCCTTTGAACTTCAATTCGCCTGTTACCTCGTCCAATCAACGGACTCAGAGATTTTGGTTTCTTTGTTAAGACAACACCAGTATTGATCAGAACATCCGAACTCTTCTTTGTTGCATTTGCAATAAGTACGTGGTTTGTCCTAGTGTTGTGTGGACCCAGTTCTGCGTAGAGTTTCATAAATATACAGGATACAAACGTCAGAAAAAAGGCTCTCTCCAAGAGTTACAGGGATAAATGACCCTGCTACAATTGGTTTGCAATTCATGAAATTAAAGGACCACTGTGAATTGCAGCATATAACCTAAGTGACATAATGAGATGAATTTTCACTTTTGTGTTATCTACACAGGCATCAACTACGACAACGAAGTTGTAACTACTTCTCGTGCAACACACCTCAGAGAATTTCCACGCAATGCCGTTGTTCTTCACGAACGATAACACGCGTTTTGTTTTGTACTTTTAGCTACTTTTGGCTTATGGAATTAATAGCGACTGAAATGTACGAAAAAAAGACATGAAACGCAACTGTGATAAACCTTTCTATCTGTTTAGGCTGGTTGTGTAACAGTATGGCTAGTCATTTGTTTCCCTTTCAAAGAACCTAAAATGTAACTCACCTTTTGCTTGTAACAAGACAGGAATAAGCAGCAACAGACTAACGCGTTTTAAATTAAGACGATTCAGTTCCATTGTTTTATCCTCTCAACCGAGGGACCTGGAAATGGGACGGTTCATTATATAGATATCCTAATACACTTTAATCTTACTTTTGTTTCGATGCTACAAAGTCTCGTGCCAGAGTCGTTTAACATATTGATACGGTTCTGAGAGAAGGCGAACTCTTATTGTCTTACGCGGGCTTCAGTTCCGGTAAATTACCGTCGTTATTAGAAGTTAATTCGGCGGTTAAACTATATATGAATGACACTGTTGTTTTTGTACGTTTACTAAATTGGTGTTTAATGATACACAGCAGAAAAGTAAACAAACAATATACAAATATTACCTTTCCATCTTCGGCCATGAGAAACTCCATTTTGTTCTTCGCGAGCTGTTTAATTAAGACTCCAATTTACATTACATCATCCCGCTCTTAACCGACATCGAAGAAAAGTCGCTTGTCAATGGTAGCTGAGCAAGTTACTAGCCAGTGAAGAATCGATATTGGTGACCTCTTGGCTTAGTGTTATGAGCGAGAAGGCCAACAACAGGTAGCAATTCACAGATGAACGATTATTTAAGTTACTTTGCAGTGACCAACAGGAGAAATTACTTCAGTAACTATTTGAGCTTACCAGAGTTGTCCTAAGCTTTGTCTTACCTGAATCGATAAGAGAGTCCTGTTTGGTTTTCAAACCGTTTCTTTTATTTAAATCTGTGCTCGATTGACCATGGAAGAATTCTTAAGAGAAAAAGTTCTCGAGCATTTTTTCAGCTGCAATTGTGTGGTCGTTTCGTCTTCCAAGCAAGCGCGATTTGAAGGACTGTCAAAAACCGTTCCATTACATTATTTTAGTACCACCCAGTTGTTTAGTTTGCGACAGAACATTTCACGTATCACTCCGCCTTCCTTTCTAGGACGCAGGTGGCCTCTGTGATATGCTTTTTTAAAGTGTTTACTGAGAGTAACATAGCCACTACGGCAATTTCATTGGTGTGGATTCGTGCCTTCTTTAAAGGATATTTGAAATACGTCTCGTGCAATTTTTCAGACATGGATACGAAGAAAATGTCATGTTGAAAATTATATGAATCATAACATCACTTGCCAAGTTAAGGATGTAAATTCTGGCTTACCTGTTTTACAAGTGTAAACTTGGTCACAGGTTTGACGCTAAAGCTGTTGTCGTTTCGCTTGTTTCCTCTACATAAATCCGACAAAATGTTGGTTAATCGCGTCTTCCCTCGTCTTAATTTGCTAAATGCTACAGAAGCTGTAGCTGAGGTTTGCGAGTCATAAATCGGCAATGCTATGTACTTAAGGTTAGTTTTGAAAAAACGGAGCTTAAGACTTTTAGTTAAGCTTAGTTTAAAAAGCTACGTCAGAACAAATAATGCAGGGCTAAGGCTCAAAGTGTCTAACAAATCATTGACGCAGCACATCACCTCGGTGCTGTAATTGATAAAGAGGGCATATTTCACTTGGTATATGCGCCGATGATTGTTTATGAACAAAATCAAACAATTAAATGCTCAAAATAAAATCCTCAAATGGTCAGTAATGTACATGCCAAAAGCCCAGTCTTGACACCCACAGCGCACACCCCGGTCATTCGAATAGTTCGTCTGGTCGCTATTCGATCATGGTGTCCATATCAACTGTGTTCGCCTGTATACAGTGGAACCTCGATATAACGAAGTGCCAAGAGACCGGCCAAATATGTTCGCTATAACGAGGTTTCGTTGTATTGGGGTTCTTTTCCATACATTTTACGTCTATTGCTGGGGCGAACAATATTGTTATAACGAGAACTTCGTTATACAGAGGCTCGTTAAATCGAGGTTCCACTGTATTCTCACAATGGAGTTTTTTCGCCTTTACCTAGGGTTTACTCGGTCAGGAGATTTCGTAACATATAACTAAAAAAAATAAGTCATAATGTCATTCACTATGTGTCATTTGACATTTGCTAAACGTTTTCCTCTTTTAAATGTTGCATACAAATCAAGTTTAACTCCAGGTCGCAGGATGTTTTGCCGTAAATGGCCCTCACTAGAAATCGGTGGATCGTAAAGAGCGACGACAAAAGCATATTCTCCATTGACGCTTTTAGCTATAGCTAGTCCCATTTTTTTCGTTTCTTTCCATACAATTTGCACAAAATGTCGAGTTTTATCGTTTATCTTAGGGTACGAAAAACTGTACGATTGAATTTCACTGTACCACTTCTCTATTGCCTTTTTGGCCGTACTTTCTCCAGTATACAGTATCTGAGCAACACTCTCCCCTTGCGGCTCTCGCAGGTCGTCCAAAGTAAGGAAATCTTTTGATGCCAAACTTTTAGCAATCTTCTCAGCCTTTCTTGCTAAGGGAACTGACCAGGACAGCGGTGGTGAGAAATGCTTGGTTCTGAGCTTGTTGTGCTCTTCCAACGATTCTCTTTCCACTTCATCTAAGATAACATGGTAATGATTAACATGTTTGAGTAAATGCGAGTAATTAGAAAGTTAACTGAGTTTATCGTAATTCTGCAACATCAGTGCTTTGTGATATACCTGGACAAAAACGTTTTCGACAAGTTTTTGTTTGAAGCAAGTCTTTTTGAGAGCATGTGGTGACGAGGCAGATGCGTGCTCTCACAGACGTTCCTTTTCCACACGTCACTGAGCACGTGGACCAGTCGTTCCATTCACTGAACGAAACATCTGAGGAACAGATATCCAAGTCAACAGTTAGTATAATGTTGTAAAAAGCGTTAAAAGATTCTTGATTTGCTTCATAACGTTTCGCGCAATAAATCCACTGTAGAACACAAAACTATTGTTTTATCTGAATACTTAAGGAAAGCTCAATCTTTCCAAACTTCTCTATTATCTCAGGTCATCAAGCTGTTTCAACCTGTGACTGCTCTCGCTTTGCATACACTTTCGCGACTTATATAACCTATGGCAAATACTGCCATAAAAGAATAACATTTTTCAATGATTTTGTTGTTATTAAGGTGCTGACCTTTCTCGCTGCGAGTGTCATCATTTTCATCCTGAGGCGTTGGATGTATTGGATAGTAATAGAGATTCTTCAGCGAGACACTTGTCGGTATGTATCTTGAGGATTTCGTAGGAACAGATCTTGTAGCCCCTGTCCCTCTCAAATAAGATATGATGTTTTCAATTTTTTTAAGGTCTCCTAAGGAGTAAATATCCGATAAAGGATCATTGCTTTGCTGGTTTCTTCGGGAGCCAGTTGACGTTGGCTTTTCACCATTTCCATAATCACGTGTGTGGCTGTAATGAAGCTGTGTCTTCCCCTTAAGTTGTGGTTTTTTGAAAGCAAGTTTTGTGCCAGGCGTTTGTTCGACTCCTTTCCAAGTTTCTTCCGCTTTTTGATTCATTAGCTGCTGTTCATCATTGCCATGTGATCTAGTATTGTGTTCGGCGCTACGAGTTCCCTCACCTGTGTTCTTCGCTGTACCTTTTCCAGTTTCATAGAAAACTTTGGGAACTGAAAATGTCACTGAGGATGTGTCGGAATTCGAATTCTGGATAACTTTTGTTTCGCCGTGACGAGGTTTCACGACACTATCTACCTTAGACGATGTACTAGGTATTTTTCCATCGTTTCCAACTTCATCACGATCAGTGGGTATGTGCTTGATACTTGTTTGATCTAATGTTTTGCTGTTGTCGAATTCTTCCTCCCTGGTATGAGAAATATTTTGGGTAGCTTTACCCTGGTTGATAATCTTATCCTCTTGGCCTTTGTCGATGTTGTTCTCTTGACTTTTTAATATGTGAGTATTTTCAATCACTTGATTGTTTTTAGCGTTCTGCGTTTCGTGGTATTTTAGTTCCTTCGATTTATCGTTACCATTTGCATGATTTGTTTTGATATTGGCAATTTCTTGACCATCCTTGATGACGTTGGCATTCGATTCTTGCTCGTGGTTGTTATTCCCTTCGTCTTCCATCTCGCTATGTACAACCTTATTACTCTCTTTTTCAGAAACCTCACCACTACCACTCTCGGAAGTCATATCATTATTGGAGTCGGTGTCTGCGTTATCATCGTCAGATGCATTGTATGCGTGAGTGCTTTCATCATCCTTTCTTTCACTATTTCTTCCACGATCACCTTTTCGCTGATTACGATCTGAGATATTGTCATTTAACATTGAAATATTTTCTTCACCATCGGAGTTTAATTCTTCCTCGCGGTCGTCCTGGTCTTGGTATTTTCTTCCAAGGTTTTCAAAGTTATTACTTTGGACGTCAGAGTTGACTAGATTATCGGTATCATCAACATTCTCGTAGTTATCAATATTTACGAAGTTGTCTAATTCTTTGTATAATTTTGCATCCTGGTTCTCTATTTGTTGGTTAAGATTCTTCATGGAAGATACTCGAGGTCTTTGCTCATCATACTCTTCGCTATCTTTATCATCTTCGTCGTACGATCTATCATCAATGGCACCGTCGTCAACGCCGTCACTAATACCATCCCATGATTTTTGCCCTTGGTCCCTGTTTTCATATTCAGAGAAGTCATCATGTTGGAAGTCATCATATTTGTTTTTCCATTTTGTTGTCTTGGCAAGAAGCTTGCTGATCTGAGCATTAATGTGATTCGTTGGATCATCTTCATCTTGATCGTAATCTTGGAGAGAGTGCAAATTACTGTCGTGTGCAAACGAAGTGCTGTCCTTAACTGACGGGCCGTGATATCTTCTACTACCGTCATTTCTGTGATGGAAATTAGAATGGGCATTATATTCAGTTTTGTCTTGATTTTCCTTATGAGTGGAGTACGTGTTGTGACTGAAACTATCTATGTTTCCTAACACGCTACTGTCCTCAAACGACTTCACGTTAAAGTCGTTAGGATCTTTCATAAGCCAGTCAATAGCTTCTTGATTGCCTTTAAAGTCTGCTTTGGTTTCCACGTTGTATTCCGGCATATCCCGTAAATCGTATCCTCCATCTTTACTGCTATCGGAAAGTGATATCTGATCCACTCCGTTCTTGTACTTTTCGCCTTCGTACTGGTCTCCATCTGCCTCCAGAGAAACGTCTAACGGACGAAAGTCTTCAATTCCATTTTCCTGAAGCATCACTAATTAAAGCAATGAAAAAAATGGCTTCAGTTTACTTAAATTTTTTTTTAACTCTTGTTTTCCCCAAATGTAAAAAGACGCCCCTCCAGGTGCCATGTAATTCTGTACTGGTTCCCTACGTATTACACTTGTTTAAAAAGAAGATTTGATTTTGTCTGGCGTAGCTAACAACCACGCTTTATTGCTGTTACTTACTTCCCTCATCTCTACTGTCTTCAAGTAGTTTTGGTTTCACAAACGCATTCAAGTTGTCGAGGTCATGCGGAGCTACGCGACTGTTGAGGATCACCAGATCTGCATGCAACATACACAAGATTGATAAAACAAATATCACAATATAATGGGGCAGAAATTCATGCAAACGCCACTTAAAGCAAAGTACAATAACTCCAGTATGCAATACGCCTCCAACGACTTTCAGTTACCTTGTAATGGCTTTCCCCTGTGAATCACGTCAATCTTTTTCCTGCCGATTCTTACTCCTGTAGAAAAAAAAATCTCACTTAAAGAACGTTGGTAGTGACGGTGATCCTATCCTGGCCATCATCATTATAACATTGTTGGCATTAGTTAAAAGATGAACGCGATGTTGTGATGTCCCTTACCCTCAACACAGTTCTGTTCGATTGTGTGTAGTAATAATATCACCAAGACTGTTACGAAAGCCATCTCAAACATTCAGCTTTTAGAATCTAAACAAATCAGATAGAATTATGTTACACTTTGCATTTACTCACGAAGAGTATAAGAGAAATTTTAAGAATAAATACTAACTGTTTCGCTTATCACTAGTTTCAGTAGCATGAAGCGTCTAGAGGTATTTCTACTCCCCCCTGGATGGGATGCTAGTCCATCGCAGGTTTACCTATCGCATTAAATTCACTAGTGCCCATTTATACACACTGGGTGGAGAGAGGCACTGTGAGAGTAAAGTGCCTTCTCAAGAATGAGCACAAACACAGTATCCATGGCCAGGACTTGAACCCGGACCGCTCGATCCGATGTTAATCGAGCTCACTAACCATGAGGCCACCGCTTCCACCATCCCACCATCCCACCGCACCGGCCTGATGGGTCACTTGGCTCGTATACAGACTTAACCTTTCATTACTAACTGGTAGTTCATGTGAGATAATGTCTAAAATTTTCCAGTCCCTTTCCGAAACCCAGGTTTGACCAATTGGTCCATAAATTAATTGTACGAGAACGCGTGTCTGGATGTGTCATCTAGCAGTTAAAAAAGGTTGACGCCTCTGAAAAATTGTCTTAACAATCATCCTGTGGATTCAGTGATTGAAACTAGATTTATCATGTAACGGTTGTGTATACTGACTGGCAACATGTTACGATGTTTAATAATATACTTGAAAGTGAAATAGTGATATTTAGAGAAGTTGAAAGAAAGAAACCCACAAACATCTCTGGGTCTCCTTCTTAATTGCTTCACGACTGCTTAAATTTCTCACTGGCTTTTGCATCAGCCGCGCAATATGTAAATGAGCTGTTTCATACACTTTTGTTTCGATCCACTTCACCGAATAATTATTGGCAACTGATCATATTTTGAAGATTATAGTCCTCCAGTCATAACATCAAATTAAATATACTGGCATTCATGTTGGAATGATAAGCAGATTCTAAAGCCTCGACAAATTATCAAACATTTATATAACACCAGATTGGACGGAACGGCTAAATTACCAAATATTGTTTAGCGGGGGAAACGTGTTCGATGAAAATATGTGTTCTAATCAGCATACTGCTTTAGAGGGTTTGATCGTTTCGCCCAAGCTTGGTCACAAGTATATGGATTCCATTGACATGATTTATTTTACTCACCTTTAAGTCTATAAAATAGATTCCTATCCCATATTTGATGGCTTCGTAGAGGAGCTCTATCGTCCGAAAGATGTTCGTAAATGAATAGTTGATAAATTCCGTCAATAGATAAGATTCTTATTCATTTACTATTCCATTAGATGAAGGCAGTTTGTACTGGATATAAACAGTGAGAACACTTTTGTACTTTCGATTCCTGACCTCTAAATTCTCTAGTAAAGGAGCCAAATAAAATGTCAAAAATATGAATTTTAACAAAATTTGCTCAATCACCCAACTGTGACGGTTCTTTTGCGGGTTATAGATTGATTCAGTTACAACGCATGATTTCCTCAATAGATGTGAATGAGAAAAGAAAAAAAGAACTGCTTACATCGAATTCCTTTTACGGCTGGTTATGGTTGAACGAGATGAAACAAGTGTTATGTCGAATGTGCCATTATTTTGTTGGCCGAATGTGTTTCAGTGATTTGCGCCAAATGTTTACATGAGACAACTAGCACTCTTCTTTAACCTTGCCTTACCTCTTGCAAGGCTGTTGATGGAAGATGGAAATAGATTACAATTTGAACGAAGTTGAAAACACTTCTATTAATTCTGGTATTCCTTTGGAATTAAAAGCTTACAACTATCACAATGCAACATGGTAGTGTCCCTCAACTAGTACCCGCTGCTGGTGTTGCTGAAGACACTTTTTGGGACAGTTTCCATTCCCGACTTTCTTTACTGCGTGTTTGAAGCTGAACAGAACGAACTTGGACTGTTTCTCCCATGTAAGCTAAGTTATTGGTACTCGATGAACATTAAACTCACAGTGCCTTTGGAGGAAAAGATATATTACCTATTGTTTAGTTCGGCCAAAGTTACTAACACTTAAGTGTGTGGAACAGGACTTCTGGGCAACGAGTCGTGGTGTGACGAAGTCTATGCCATAACGAACACATTTTCCCAGTCCATTGGCACTTCGTTACATCAGAGTTTCACTGTGCCGAGTTGGTTCCATGCATTTTAGTGTTAGTAAATTTGACTGAAGAATATCATTCGTTTTACTAGGGACTCTGTAAAATGGGGCTGACTGTTACCATGGTCAAAGAATTTACCCGCCAATTATATTTAATTTTTCCTTCATTTTAAGTTTTTCGTTGATAAACTCCGATTAAACTAAAAATTCCATCAAAAATCAAAATGTGTCACTGATTGTCAACTACGTTCTCAAGACGTGTTCATAGTCAACATTGTAGCGGTCACATTTCTGAGGAGTGTAAATGTCGCGCCATTCCTCCCGGTGTTCTAAAACTCATGGCATACTTCGTTCCGATCGACCAGACTTGGTCGACCCGGCGAATAAAAGAATGCCAGAAAAGGGTTCATAGTCACGTTCTATTGAAATAGTAAGCCTACTTTTGGTATCTCACTAATGTTCAAATTCAACTACTGAGGGGGAATCTGGAGTTTCATTTTATAAACGTTTGAAGTCAAGGGTCCTATTTTCAATACTTTGTCAAAGTTACATTTCAGCGATATTTCAGAAGACATCACACTGTCTTATGGAACACTTTTCTGAAACTGAAACTGAAACTTCTTCGTATTTATAATATGTATAAGAGACGTACAGGCAACCATGATGAGATACATCGAACTAATCAATTTGTTTATTGTCTTAATCGTATCTACAACAAACACTTACAGTTGTTAAACTCATTGGACTCGCCCATTGTGGCATTGTGGCCCACTTTGCACATTTTCATTTATCAAAAGTAACGAGACGATTTCTAATTGCTCATAGTTGCAATGAACGGAGTAATAAATAACAATTATTCCTTGAGCTCACGTTGGATTCCTGGATTGTCAAAATAATTTGACAACGTTTTCGGCATTTTAGTTACATCGCTATCCAGAGTAAGCCTGTTCCTAATAATGCTTGCAAAAGTTAAAAACACTCGTAAAAAGGTTGTTAACGGTGATAAATAAAATATAAATATAGGGCGCTTTCTATGATTTAACTAACAAAAACCGAAACTTCCGAAGGCAGGGGCAAATGGTGCAGAAATTTCCTAAATATACGAAATTCGAACCATTCAACCGCAAATTCCGGACATTCCAACGGGAGAACCAATTATACCTTTCGAGGCTGTCCTCTTTTCCGGAAAGTGCTGTTACTTCGCCACTGGAAATTTCCGGAAAATCAAACCGGAATTTTTCGTCGAATGGAATGTGCCCATAATTGTAATCACTAACAATCTCAATTTCCTATTGACTGACTATTTTCCACTTTGTGGCTTAGGCGTATGGACGTTAATTCTCTCTTCGTTCCTTGCGTTTCCAGGCGGACTGTAAAGCGCTACCACAAATGTGTGTTTTCCGTCCCTACTCTTAGCTTCCCCAATTCCAAGCCATTTGGAGCTCTTCCATATGAGCTGGGTAAAGTGCTTGGTGGAACCATCGATCACTGGATCGTCGAAGTTATAGCTTTTGACCTCACTGTACCAGTCAGCGGTTGCTTTCTCGGCTGCGATGTCATAACTGTGCCATAGCCGAGCGACGTTTATACCTGAATGTTCCTCTTTTAAATCCGACAAGCGGATGGCATTGTTGGCCAGTTCATTTGCTACTGCTTGCGCCTTAGCAGCCAAACGTTGTGACCACCTCAGCGGAGGACTTTTATGCCATGTTCTGAATTTGTTATGCAGACGAAGTCCTGCTCTTCCAAGTTGTTCTGAAGGAAGTTAAGAAACGACATTAACAGAATTCAATACTGTAATGAGTGATTCAACGTTAAAACAATCCATTGTTTATCTTCCACTGGGTTAAGACACCTGCCCGTCAACGCCAACACACAATTTACTCCTTTTCTTGATCGCTTAAATGACAGCAATTTAACTGACAGGATATTATAAAGAAAAGCCGGCTGCTCCGCAGATGACCGATTGTACTGCAACTGCCTCCAGAGGTCTGCAATACTAGATTACTTACGATTTGAGTTCGAGTACGAGTACGAGATAGAGTGCGAGAACGACTTTTGAATTGTAGTTTGCAGGATCCACATTATCACAGGGGCCCTGGAAACGTCACTGGTTTGATATTTGAGAATCGTCCTTGCACTCAATCTCGCTCTCGTAGTCCAATCTAAAGGTCTCTATAGATCTGACTGACAAAACAATCCTTCGGAGAATTTAGAGTTTTGGGATAAAAAGCAAAGTGTATATCTTTTGAAAAAAGGGAGGATTCATGCAACCTTCCTTCATTTGTTTCATTCTTACAGTTTGTCCTTCATAATTTATCATTCAGTAACTGCAACTTTTGGTAAGTCTTACCTGTACAGGGCTGCATGAAACAAGCCTTGCTCTCCGTCTTATGTCCCTTACATTGTGTTCCCTCGCACAACTGAGCTCTTGCTTGAATACCTTGACCACAAGTCACTGAACATGGCGACCATGTGTTCCGTTTATCTGAATGTTGTACAGAAATTTATAGTATTTTCTCTTGGAATTCAGTCAATTTAAAATATCGATCTTAGGAGCGTGTCAGCGATTTAAACAACTTCTTTTTTTCCAAAACATCGACGACCAAAAGGCAGTTGCTTCAATGGCAAACACACTGAGAAGTTAAGATCATTTTATCTATTTCGTGTTTCAACTGCATGTGGTGCAGGAACGTCTTTCATACTTCTAGTAGGTCGCTATTGCACTCTACTTTTAGCCAATCCTCGTAACGTCGCTAATCAAAATTTGTCTTTTAGTATTCTCAGCTTTAAGTTCAAGTTGTGTTGTTGATGACTGTTAACCCTGAGGACAATAACGAAGGTTCTGGCTTAATTAATTATTATATTTTTAGTCCAGGGCCCCTCTGGATATTAGCCTCGTCGGGGCCACCTTGGCTAAATAAAGTTTACCTTTACCCTTACCTTTACCTTTACCTTTCCGTGATCATGTGGTGTCCCTTAATCTTAACTTTTATGTAGCGAAAAGGTATGATCTACATGGACCGTCAACCTTAACGCATTGGGTGTGACATAACTTATAACAAAAGTGACCCTTTCAGGGTTCCAGGTCGATTTCCACTGCTCCCACCAATTCATTTTTAATTTTCTATTAATTTTTGGGTCATGTAGCTGACCTTGTAGAGTTATTGACCTGAGCCCCCCTACTTATCTGGAATACTGCCTTGTGGTCGCAGATCGGGTGGTTTCATAGTGTACCCATTTGTGGCATATCATAGGGGATGTCGAGATGCATTGTTTCTTGAGAATGTTCCGATAAGTTAAGATTAAAATCCTTTAAAAACTTGCATCTACTGATTCACTGGAATATATTAGCGTCATTCCATACAGACCCAGTGCAGCCGAGGATAACGCAATTGTCCATTTCGTTGAAATCAAATGAAGATGACCAAAAATAAATTGAGAAAATACTAAACGTAACAAAATACCAAAATACCAACCATTCTTCGCATCAGTAGTTGTTCTCCCTAAGTCGTGATCTGGGCCAAAGATCAGCCTTGCCCTGTTTTCAGGAGAGCCCTCTATAAACTTAGAAGGCCTGAGGAAACTCTTCAAGGACAACATCTTGTTCTTTTCCTCACTTTCTCTTAGTTTTAAACCAGGAGGAAATATATCAGATGGGGGTGATTGCCCTATTCCGGCAAAGGAAACTCGATTGAGCTCGTTGTACTTGGTTGGGGACATGCTTGAGCTCCTTTGCATATCATCGAAATTGCGACCTTTTGTTGGCCTCGCAGAGGCCGGAACGTTATAGGCGTCTTGAAGAACGCCATTTGCAGTACCGTCGTTTTCTTGATTTAACTTGTTATTCGTTTTCCCAAGGATCTGCCAGCTTAGTATTTCATTGTTTGAGCCAGTTTCGCCATGACCTTCAATCATATTTCCTTTCTTAGCAAATTCCTGCATTGGAGCTGTCTGGGTTTCCCAGAGATAATGGTTCATTAGTTCGGCATCTGTAACGATTTGATGTCTGGAGCTGCTATCGTCCTTTGTATTTTGAGCAGCTTCACTGGTAATCACTTTGTTTGTGTCTGAATTCATTAATGTGACGTTACCGGGTATCTTAAGCACTAGCGATCCGTCATTGCTAGTGCCTGCCTTGAAACTAACTGGTTTTCCTGCACCAGAAATTTTTAACGTAACAAAGTTTTCCTTTTGTGAGTCTTCGTCCTTGGATTGAATGAGGTTATTCAGCGATGGTCTGTCAACACCGAGAGATTCTGGAACAATTGGCGACTGAGTTTTAATTAGGTTATTCAGCGATGGTCCGTCGACACCGAGAGATTCTGGAACATTTGGCGACTGAGCTTTAATCAGGCGAGAGGGTGTTAGTGGATCTCCTTGAAAAGTATGCCCCTGGATATGAAGGTTTAAACCCTGGGGTAAACTCAGGGCTTGTGTCACTTGTTCAGCGCCTAAACCGAGTGCATCTTTAGAGGATATCTTCCCTGAAGTTAAACTCCTTCCTTGTGAAGGAACCGTAGGAACATGGGCGTCGATAGCATTTGGTTGCGTTGCCATCATGGGTGTCTCTTGAGTTTTGAAAGGAGATATCGTTGTTGTCATTTTATCTGCCAGCAAAGTGTTAATGCCCATATTGTTTTGACCTGGATTCCCTTCCATCAATTTCTTGAGGAACTCCTGCTTAAGATTCTCCTCGCTCTGGTGTTCAGAATCATTCCGGTGTTTCAGCAGGTCAAGGACGACTTTTTTGCCAATAGTAGAAAAAAGGTCTGAATTATCGGAAGATATGTGTTGAGCCTCTTCTGGGTAGTTATTAAAGCCTTGGAAGAGTTCTTTGTCCTGGGTATCAAGGTCCTGGTAATAATTTTTAGGCATTTCAAAAGGATTGTTTCCCTCATTAGAGTGATAATCTGAAACTTTGTCATAACCTGATTCCTTGTAGCTGTATTCAGGCAAAGGGTTGTCTTTATACATGTCTGTGAGTTTTCCCACATTAGCTGCCTGTGGCTGCTCTTGTTCTATCTGGCTAATCTGGCTATAGAATTCTTTATCCATTCCTCCATTACGAAGTGTACCTACAAACGAATATACCATTGACAAATTTTGAACAGGAAAATATCTCTAAATCATGCTAAGTTTTCTGGTTGTTTCAAATTTATTTAAGGTTACAGTATACCTTCAGATCGGCAATTTTCTTCAAATTTGGATTTTTGGTTCAAAGTAATGGTCGAAGATTAATCTCTAATTTCTGAAAACAAAATTGAAAAAAACTTANATTAATAATCATTCAACTGTGAGTGAAAGTCTGTATAAAATGACAAATCTAAACCATTTTTTTTTTCGTTCTCACATTATATAAAAGAACATAGCAACGTTTTCTTTTTTACCATGTGGTAGATAAAATAATATAGGACCATAACATGGAAAAGAATCGGAGACAAATAGATAGATATGATCTGCAGGCTTTTAGAAAGTCTTTACATAATTAATCACCTTAAGGTTACAGTATACCCTCAGATCGGCAATTTTCTTTAAATTTGGATTTTTGGTTCAAAGTAATGGTCGAAGATTAATCTCTAATTTCTGAAAACAAAATTGAAAAAAACTTAATATTGGCGGAGAAATGGAGGTTTTACGTTACGGCCGGAAGTAAAAGTTCCCTCTTGATTGACA